GAGTCTTTAGAAAGAGTAAGAGGGACTGGAAATTAGAATTTGAACTGGTGTGCATGAAATAATGTGTGTGAAAGGAGTAAGGTGGGCGATGCTATAATGATCTTTCATTCTGTGCCAGAAACAGGGGTCTAAAAAGACAGATGACAACCTTAAGGAGCTTAAATTCAACCACACTATACACCAGCTATTTTTCTTAATTAGTTCTTGATCTTATTTACATTTCCTCTGATTTGAACACATCTTAGTTTTATGTTAACTGTCTCTTATATCTCCATGCACAGAAAAACAATATTAGAACATCATGGGAAATGGTGACAAACAACTATCAAGTTTTAAATATTTGACATACCAAAGCTGGTATCATCCCTTTTTTTTTTCCTTCAACTCCATGTGTTTACAATAGTTTTTAATAACAATACTTTATATGCAGATCTATATTCTAATATGACATTTAGACTCGCTTTGTCACTAGACCAAAGTAGCAAACCTAAAAAAGGAAGTGTTCTTATTTTGATAAAGCCTACATGCTCAGTTAGGAATCAAACACAGGCATTCCCAGGAGTTTCCTCATAGTCATAAGCTAAGAGGGTACATCCACATTCAGGATTTTGATTATCACCTCTGGGAGTCTATGAAGACTGTGGTAAAACATTCTTGTTCAACAGATCAAGTTTGTGGAATATAATTTCCATCCATCTCAAATCATCCTTCATATTAGATTGTTCAATCATTTCTGCAATGAAGGCTTTATTTGGTTAATGGTAATTCTCAAGGAGGGAAAAAAGATATAGTTGTTTCAAAACATATACCAGGAGAAAAAATTTCTTGGTGTTTTGGCAATATAATTTTCCAGCTGGACATGAAGATGATATGTTTTTCCAAAGATGGAACAATTCTACTAAAATGATATGAAAATTGGAATCCTAGAAGGATATGTGTGGTTTTCAATAAAATATTAATGAAAAAAAACATTGTTAATATGATACATTTCCCTTAGCACCATCTGGGCTTTGGAATCCAGAGCTGTTTCTGGGTTTTTCACTTACATGAGCCAAATACATTTTTTCTCTTCTTTTTCTGTACTATGTGAATTGTGTTTGCTGTCACTTGCAATTTAAAGAGTTTTATCTAATATAGAAATTGGTTCCAGGATTGGCATCCAAAAATTCCACAAATGTCCACAAAAGAACCATAGATAACAGATTATGGAAGCACAGAATATCAAAGTGGAAAGGAATTTAAGCATCATCTGATCAACCATGTCATTTTATGGGTAAGTAAATAAATCTGTATGAAAATAAATGTCAACATATTTTCAACGAATGAGACTTTATAGGATGCATTATAACATGGCACTATTACAGAAAAAAGATTTTGAAAACAACATTCAAAAACTATATATAAATATAATGGTTGTGAGGTTTTGCTAAAAATTGGTCCCAGTTTATGATGCAACAGAATCACTTCATTTATTCTCAGTAAATATTTTTGAGCACCAGAAATGTATTAGTCATTGAGTCAGGTGACGGGCACAGAGCAGAGAACAAGATCAGCAAGGAATATACTCTCAAGGAACTGTGTGTCTAGTGGGGAAAGCAGGTAATAAACACTAGCAGCTTTAAGTAGGTAAATATTATTGTTGCTATAATATATATTACAAAGGAAAAGACCAGTTCAATACGAGTAAATATAAGAGGAGGACTTGCCTTTATATGGGAGATGAGAGGAGTCTTCAGTGAGGATGTGATACTTACATTGAGACCTGAACATGGTAGAAAATTTTCAGGTGACTTGCTAAGATGAAGGAGCCCAGGAATGTATAAAACCCTGTTGGTGGGAAAGAGCTTGACTTCTTAAAGGAATACAAAACAAAACATGAATGGAAATTAGTGAAAAGGGGAAGATTAGCTCAAGATCTGGAGATGGGTAGGAGCTAGAACACAAAAACAGAGGGACTTTCTGAGACACTTGGGAAGGAGCTTGAGCAAACGACATAAATAAAGGCCTTTACAATGGGGTGAGGGCGGGTTACACTTTGAAGGGGGGGTACAGTAAAAGCATAGAGATAAGAGAGCCATGTAACAACCTAGGCCAGAGATGACAGCTTCCCAGGGAGTAATGGTTTGAATGAAGGTGGTAGTGAAGATAAACCCAGGAAGCTGACTCGGTTATATTCAGCAGTAGAAGCAACAAACCCCCTTTATTTTTCTGTACTAATTTGACTTGTGTGTGCTGTCATTTGTGATTCAAAGGGTTTTAATTACCACAGATATTGGTATCAGGCATGGGGCAGTTTAGTAGAGAAGAGACTATGTATTGAGAGGTGATGTGCAGTCAGGGGAGGGAGGAGACAAATGCAATGACCAGGTTTTTGGGCTAAGGCAGTGGGGGATATTGGTGACTTTTACTGACTTATGGAACATGGAGGAGCAGGAAGGGGAATACCATGAGCTCATAGGACAGGCAAGCTATTTTTGAGCTGTGTGGGAGCTAAACTTGGAAAGAGGATAGTAGTGGGAATGGTCAAACTACTGAAGTCAGAGATTCTCAAACTTTTCCACTATTTTCTTCTGAAACGACAAGGTAGAAGTTCAGCCTATGGACCCACTGATTAGTAAGGATCTGACACCATGACAGACCTTTATTCTGATATTCTTTAAAAAGCCATTAGCCATTTATTTAGTAGCGCTATGGGGAACATACAAAGAAATTAAAAAAAAAATCTAATTTCATGTGTATTCCTCATAACAATATCATGAAGAGGGTTCCATTAATTCTTTTTTACTATTCATCAATCCTAGTCCAGTAGTTTGAAAGTCTGAAGCACAAAGACCACCAATAAGGTAGTTTTGGTCACACACAGTCAAAAAATGATGGAGCTAGGATTTAAACTAATTTTGTCTAAATAATCATTATAATCACTGAATCCTCATTATATATCACATGATGATTTGCTATGGGTTCCCAATCATCTTGTGCTAATTTAAAAAAGAGGCTAGGGATTGGGAGAAAACCTTTACGTACTCAAAACTCTTGGTGTATTTCGGTTACGTGTCATTATTTCTTTTTTTTTTTAAAGATTTATTTTATTTATACAAGAGCTACGGCACAGGCCAGAGTCACAGGAAGGTGAGAGGATTCACCAGTGATGGAGCTGGGAGCAGAACAGGCAGACAGACCAAAAGCACTGCTGAAGGGAGCGGCGGGCACAACAGGAGTGGTCTGCCTCGCCATGTGGGAATCTCCCTGGCAGGCCGGGATTGAACCCACACTGCAGAGGCTTCGGACAGCTTCACAGCTCTGTGCTCAACTCGCTGCGCCACCGGGGAGGCCCTTGTTTTATGTTTTACTAGCTAAAAAGTCAGGACAGTTTTGCTAAATAAAATACAGAAACGCAAAAAAGACTTTTCAATTGTCTAAATTCTCTTCATGTTATTGCAAAGTAAATAACAATGATAGTGCAGCATCCTACAAAGTAAATCATTTTTAATGATTTTAAAAATAAGCTAAGCTACTTGCTAAGCCCATATTACTATTTAGTAGTATAAGATTTACAAGCTTCAAACCTTATAAAAGCAAACACGCACACTTCCAAAATAAGACCCCCAAAACAAGTATTTTAAAAAGCTTTTAATTTAAAAAAGAAAATAAAACAGGAGATGCCATTTAAAAAGACAAGGCAGTAATTAAATAATACTTGTTCCTTTTAGTTTGCTCTAATAATTACTTTTGAGTATTCTTTTTTTATGCTCATTTCTTTCCCAAAGAAAAATTACTAAAAACTAAAGTTTTTCAACATAAAAATGCACTTAATGTCTCCCTGGGAGCTATAAACAATGGGTCCACTTTTCAGTGACAACACAAACATGGAAAACCAACAAAACAGAAATTGCACCTGATTCTTGCATGTTCATGCCTGTGGTGACACAAATATAAGCGCTTTATCTTGAAGACTCAAGAGAATATTTCCCATTTTGACCTGTGAAGAACAAACACTAGGATTTAAGCTGTCTTTTTGTCTGAGAAATCTAATCAGCTTGAAATCCCAGCACCACAACTGTAAAATGATTTGACTTTTGTCTGAGAAGTGTAATCATCTTGAAATCCCAGCACACAAATGTAAAATGATTTGACCTAAAGTTTATTATCTATAATTAAATTCAGAGCACAAAAAAAATTGTATCTTAAATTAAAAGGCATGTGGGGTGTTAATGTGTGTTTATGTTATGTTGTGCCAATTGATTTTTAAAAATAGAATTCTGGAAAACTCAAATATTTAATCTAAGGCTTAGAATTTAGTTCTGCCTGCATAAGGATCTCCAAATTCGGTCACTCGTCCACTTATGCTAAATCTCTTGGTGCCACTAAGAAGATCAGAAGGAAAAGCAAAAGTGAAAATAAGGAAGATGAAAAAGTAGAAAAACAAGAAAGACTGCTACCATTCTAATGAGAAGAGAATGATTTGTGCTTCTGAGGAATTCAACTTATTTCTGAATTCAGTCAGGAAATGATGTTCATTTTGGTTTATCTAACAGAAGCAATTTATTTTTTCTGTATAAATATTGGGTAATATTTACACATAACCTCAATTTGTATAAACATTGCCTAGTTTTCAGGGTAGGTTGATTATTCCATTATTGGTTCACTCTTTCATGACTGTAAACAAGGTTTTGCATGTTTTGTTTATCAAATCTATATTTATAAGATAAATACTCTCAAACTTCTGTAAGTCTGTATAAATACCCGTTTCAATAATAAATTCAGTAAACGTCACCATAATTTGCTATGGAAGCACTGAATATATAATAAAAATTTCAAATATATAGTAAAAATTGGAGCATTATACCCTAGATGCTAAAATTGCCATTTTTTTTTTTTTAATAGAGGCATGCTTTATTTATTTGTTTTGCTGGTTTGTTTTGTTTATACATGCACTGGGTACAGTCAGAAGCGTGGGAGGGTGAGAGAATTCACCAGAGCCAGAGCGGGGAGCAGAGCAGGCAGAAGGACCGAAGTACACTGCTGAGGGGAGCAGCGGGCTGCAGGAGAGGTCTGCGCGCCATGTAGGACCCTCCTCCGGTGGCCGGGGAGCAGCCGGGGATCGAACCGGCGCCGCAGAGGCCGCGGGCAGCTTCGCAACCCAGCGCTCAACCGCTGCGCCACCAGGGAGGCCCAAAATTGCCATTTTGGAAGTTGAAGGGAAACTTATATAGGTTTTCTAGTCAGTTATAGTCTTTAAGCATTGAAAATTTCAAGATGTCCCAATTTCTGAGATTTATGTTGGGGAGAAAAAACTCAGGAAGGAAATATTGCCAGCATTTTTAGTGACCTTGCTGTCAAACGTCTCAATCTCAATGCATACAAAAATACTGCCATCTTATTAGAAAGTGTCCTTTTATTGTCCCAAGGGAATTCTCCAGTTATGTGCATTACACAGAATTTTAAAGAAAATGAAAGTGTGCTTAGATTAACCAAAGTGTAGCCAAAAAGAAGACAGGAGAGGGGAAGGGAAAGAATCAGCTGACATGGATTCGATGTGGCAATACCTTTGGCAAACTTTGGACCATACCCCATGCTTTAGGAGTCCACCAAATTAAAATGTGTAGTTTCCAGATTTCAAAGATGCTAATATAGTAATTCTCTGGAATTATCAAAGGCAGAGAAATACTGCCTCATAATATTATCCTAATTATGGAAAATATTGGTGGCTTCAGGCAGACAGGATTGAAAGAGCAAAATGTCTTTAAATTCTCAACCAAGCTCACCTTAAGTTTCTGGATACGCTGAAGGAATTTTAAGGCAAAAAAATCACACCAAATTTTAAGGCTTTACAGTTTCATAATGCATTATTCTAGAATGTTCTAGAGTTCTGGAACTCCTTTTCTATATATTCAGGCCAGAACCAATAGTGGAGAGTTGAGAGTAAACCTGGCTCTCATAAAAGAATAGGCATTGTTGTGCTTTAAGTCGTTACTGCAGATGTTATGTGGGACTTTCACAAAGCAACTTCTTTAGGTCTGTGAACCACCAACAAATCTGAGTAACATTTGCAGGGTTAACAGCCAGGCTGAATAAGTGAAAAACAAAACAAAAACTGGAATGGAAGTTAAGGAATTGTATCCACACTGTCTCTTTCACAAAAACCCTATTTGTTCACATGCAGTATATATTTTCCCCATTCAAAAGGCAATCCAAAAATTGCCCCATGTCCTTTAGATATAAACTAATGAATGATTATCACCTTTAGTGATGAAATAAGGAAACATGCAATAACGCAGCAAAGTTAACCAGTTTCACATCATAATAGTAATTCCTTAACAAAAATAAACTGTAGGCAAAACACAGATCAAAAGTAACATTGGTTGTTATAATCCTGAAAATTTGATTTTGTTCCTAGCATAATGGGGCTTGATCCCAAAATTGATTGATATTTGCATATTTCCTTGTAGTGCTGAGATTTTCATACATTTTTTTTAGGGTAAGACTATTTTGCTGACAGAACCTATGATATCCTACTGGATTCCAATATACAGGATAACACATTTGCATTAATATTTTTCAATTTACACTTTGTTCTCTATAAATGATAAAAAGTATTTAACATTTTTGTCTCCAAAAATTTCTCTACAAAACAGGGTACATCATATACATACCTATATGTCTTATATAATAGCAGTGACATTGGACAAATTTGTGTTACAATTTCCTTATTTGCCTGCTGGAGATGATACAATACCCTACTAAATTCATTAGGCCATTGCAAACATCAAGATCATTTATGACAGGTTTTTGAGATTGAAAAAAAACATTCTGCAAAATGCCCTTATGCTAATACTGGCCATACTAGCAATGAGGAATTAAGTTAGATTTCTTTGGAGAATAGAATATAGAGAAAGAATATACAATACTTTCTCTATTGTAGGTAGGTAATAAGACCTACCTGATTCTTTTGCTAAAATCTGGGTAACACCACAGAAGAAAACAAAATTCAAAGAGACATTCCTAACGGTGGTAGGAAGTTGAATTTTCTTGCCAGTGGAATCAGTTGAACTCTTCATTTCATACACATCAATTTGAAGTTTATAATTTCACTAACTGCCCACGTGTTTAAAGGTACTGCCCCCTACCTAGTGATATGTAAGATACAATGTTTTTGTCATTGAGTAAGCACAGCTGTCCCATTGCTGCTGTAGCCCCCTTCCCTCTCACATTGTTACACCAAGCCCCATTGAAGGGGCATCAGTTCCAGCCCATGAACTTGCTCTGTGATCAGAGCAGGTCAGGTCTGTGCAGGCACCAAGTTTTCCGTTTTATATTTGACGCCTGGATCATAGAAAGGAACAATCAAGTTTGAGCTAAACGAACCAATCATTTTCAATCCAGCTCATTAGTTAATTATTCCAATTGCAAATGGGAAATGAGCTGACTTGTGCTAAATGGTTCAGTCAATTGCTTTGGACTGAAAATAGTCTATCAGGCTTGTAGTGTGGGGGACCCTAAAAGAATACAAGGCAGTGCAGGAGCCAGCTTAGAGCATTCTATTGCTGGACTCTGAAGAAAGAAGGATCAGCAGCCATCTTCTGAAGAAAGGGAAACTGAAGACCTTTGCAGAGACCTGGCTGCTGCACCAAGTTCTGGCCCTTCCTCCGACATCACCTGAAAGGAGCAGCATAGGCTTCGGCCTGGTGTCTCAAAGAGCTGTTGTGCTATTGGTTCCTTCCACTAGCTCACCAATAGCTCATGTTTTTGACAGTGCCTCCTGGTGACTGGTGGTGACCAGCACTATTGGCTAGTACTGTCCAGCACTGTTGATGAGTGACCAGCACTCTGCATCTGAGTCACCTTTGAGAGCTGTCTACTGCTTCTGATCATCTAGCACTGCCTCATGGTGTTGTTGCCTCTGTTGCTGTCTGGTCCAGCATCTGGTGCTGTCCAGTCCTGCCTTCAGATTGTTGCCATGGGCTGCTGTGGTATCATCTCAGCAGCCCATCCTATGAGCACCTCCAGCTGCCACTGTGAGTTGCAGCCTGGCATACTCATTGCTTGATGCTGTGCCACCAGCTTCAGGCCCTTATTGACAGGACAGCACCATCTTACACAAAGAAGAGCCTTTCGTTTGAGACTTCTGGACACTGTGGACACTATTTGGGGTGAGAGAGCCAGCTTCTTGTGCCCTTACAAACTCTCTGTTTCCCGTTTGTTAAACAAACCCCATAGTTGTTGTTTCCTGAGCCTGAGTGGTCTTACAATTGAGTGCATGGGTCAAAACCCATAGACAGTGACCTGTCCTCTACTTTGGCACTGTCCTTTGACCCTCTATAGCACTTTTCACTTTGAAATCCTTTCTTCTCTTCTCTATGACCCATTAAAGATCTAGCCACTAAGAGTCTGCTTTCGTTGCCTTTGTGTATGTGGATGACTGAACCCTCTTAGGGACATATCTCTTAGCAGTTTGAGGTCCCTGGGTACCCCTCAGTAGCATGGTTACAGTCTAGCCTGAGAACTCAGAGTGGTATGGAATCATTTCTTTTGCCCCCTGACAATGGGATTATGGGTAATCTAATCTTAATTTTGGTCCACTGACCTATATTCTCTACAAGTTAAATTTTTTTTTTTTTTTACAACGAGTATGTATTACTTTTATAACAAGGGTGTGAGGGAGTCCATTGCATAGAAAGAGTCTCAAGAATACTAGATAAATACATTAGATGGCACTGATAATGTTAGACACTTAACACAAAATGCAAGACTCCCAAAAATTCCTTTTCACAGCTAGCTCAACCTGTTTGAACAATGCTAAATTAGCAAAAATATATACTTAAACAGAGAGATAAATAGCATTAAAAAAAACTAAAGCATATTCCCTCTTGGGGGCAACTAATTTAGCAACATTTAACAAGGTTTTTAAAACTCAATTGTCATGGAGCACCATTAAATAGTCACACACAAAAGATCCAAGCAGCTTCAAGATTAATATTTCCTTGCTCATGAGATGCTTAGTTGACTTGCAATAATGCAAAATATTCAGTGCATCTGGTTGGGGCCTACATGGATGATGATGTGTTTCTCATAAGCCCTTTTCATTGTTTTCTCAATTTGCTTCAGAAAAACTTGTGGGATTCGTCCACATAAAGTATGTACAGTCTCCAAAAACTTCAGCTGAAGAGGGTAATACATGGATTGGAAGAGATTGTCTTGAAAGGGAAACTGAAAAATAATTAGAAAGAAAAGAGAAATTTTATTTTAGTTACGTAATGCCATCTAAAACACAAATGATTGTTGCTAAGAAATGAGAAAAACAGGAAATTAGTGTAAGTTTGTACATTCTAAGCAAAGCAAAGCAAAACCAACCAAATCAAGGTTGTATGTTCTTAGATATAGTGGAAAGGACTTCTACAGACTGAGGTTCAAACCTTGAATCAATCCTGTGCAACCCCATGCAATCATTTACCCTTTATGGGCTTCAGTTACTTTTCCACTAAACAAACACAAAGGAATAAAAAGAAAAAAAATAGGGCCTCCCCGGTGGCGCAGCGGTTGAGCGCTGGGTTGCGAAACTGCCCGCAGCCTCTGCAGCACTGGTTTGATCCCCGGCTGCTCCCCAGCCACCGGAGGAGGGTCCCACATGGCGCGCAGACCTCTCCTGCCGCCCACTGCTCCCCTCAGCAGTGTACTTCAGTCCTTCTGCCTGCTCTGCTCCCTGCTCTGGCTCTGGTGAATTCTCTCACCCTCCCGCGCTTCTGACTGTACCCAGTGCTTGTTTGTATAAATAAATAAATAAATCTAAAAAAAAAAAGAAAGAAAAAAGAAAAAGAAAAAAATAAACAACAAAAAAAAAAGAAAAAAAATAAACAAACAAGAAAGATGATTTATTTTCGTCCTTAAAGCTCTTTAATTTACCCCCCCATCCCCAATGGCACAGGGGTTAAAGACAGCGCTAGCAAGCTATTGCCAGCCACTGCAGCAGGAATTGGATCCCACTTTGTCTCTGGTGAATCCTCTCACCCCCTGTACTTCTGGCCTATACCCCAGTTCTTATATACATAAATAAATCTTTAAAAAATTATTGATTTTTGAAATCATATTATATTGGTCAAAAATTAATAATGCAGTGGTCTTAAATTTTTCTTTTGCATGGTGATAAAGAATAAATGACTAGCTCACAATACAAGGAGGTTTTTATAAGCTTTGTTCTTTGAAGTGGTGTTAGTGTTGCTGTAGGGCAAAAAGCATTCCACTAGCAAAGAAATTAGGTTAATGGAATGAAATCAAGAATGATGTGTTGGGGCCTCCCTGGTGGCACAAGGGGTTAAGATGCAACCTATGAAGCTGTCCGCAGCCACTGCAGCATGAGTTTGATCCCTGACCAGGGAGCTACCCACATGGCATAGCAGACCTCTCCTTACTTGCCCACTGCTCCCCTTGGCAGTGTACTTTGGTGGATCTGCCTGTTCTATTCCCCACTCTGTCTCTGTTGAATCCTCTCACCCCCACACCTCTGGCCTGTACCCCAGGTCTTATATGCATAAATAAATAAATCTTTAAAAAAAAAAAAAGAATGATGTGTCGGTGCCACATATTATAAGGTGATTCTAAGCAAGTCATTCCCTCAGCACTCAGCAAAGGGAAGCAAGAACTGAAAATAATACCTTATAAAATTCAAATGCTCCCTGTAACACATTCTTATATAAAGGCCAAAAGCTCTAAAATTAATTTTTTTTAAAGATTTATTTTTATTTATACAAGAGCTGGGGTACAGGCCAGAGTCGTGGGAGGGTGAGAGGGTTCACCAAAGACAGAGCAGGGAGCAGAACAGGCAGATGGACCGAAAGCACTGCTGAGGGGAGCAGCGGGCGAAAGAGGAGAGGTCTGCCTTGCCATGTGGGATTCTCCCTGGCCAGCTGGGAATCAAACCGGCTCTACAGAGTCTGCAGACAGCCTCACAGCGCTGCGCTCAACCTGCTGCACCACTGGGAAGGCCCTCTAAAATTAATTTTAAAACAAAGTATATCTCTTTAGACAGGATATTCTGTATATACAGCATGCTTTTGATGAGTATAAGCAAGACTCAGGTTGGGGGCCTCCCTGGTGGCACAAGGGGTTAAGACACAACCTATCACACAATCTGCAGCCACTGCAGCATGAGTAGCATGAGTTCAATTCCTGGCCAGGGAGCTACCCAATGGCACAGCAGACCTCTCCTCACTCGCCCGTTGCTCCCCTCAGCAGTGTGTTTCAGTCAGTCTGCCTGTTCTGTTCCCCACTTTGTCTCTGGTGAATTCTCTCACCTCCCCCTGCACCTCTGGCCTGTACCCCAGTTCTTATATGCATAAATAAATAAATCTTTAAAAAAAAAAGGACTCAAGTAGGTATGTAAGAGTAACAGTGAAGAGCAAAATCCTAGACCGTGAATGATGCTCTGAATGGACTTCACCTCCAACTCCAGGTCAATGAAATCTCAGGCCACAAGGATAATTCCCAGCACACCTTGAACTGGATTTCCTGAATGGGGGGCAGCTGGGAAGGAGGAAAGAGCAATGTGGATACACACATACACACATATATGGGGGGGTATAAAGCAATTGGGGGGAGGGAAGGGACACAGGGATACAAGTAATGGTGTGGGAAAAAAAGATTGAACTTTTATTTTTTAAAGATTTATTTATTTATGCATACAAGAGCTGGAGTACAGGCCAGAGGTGTGGGGGGTGAGAGGATTCACCAGAGACAGAGTGGGGAACAGAATAGGCAGAGTGACTGAAATACACTGCTGAGGGAAGCAGCGGGTGAGTCAGGAGAGGTCTGCTGCGCCATGTGGGTAGCTCCCTGGCGGGGATAGAACTCGTGCTGCAGAGGCTGTGGACAGCTTCACAGGCTGCATCTTAAGCCCTTGTGCCACCAGGGAGGCCCAAGGTTGAACTTTTTATTGAATTTTTTTTCCCCCATTAACAGTTGGGGTCCCTGGTATTCTTGGTTTTGCATGGAATCAGATACTTGAAATCTACTGCAATAAATTACTGAATTCTTTTTTCCCCCTTTGTGGCAATTTTAATGAAGAAACTTTAGGGCCTCCCCAGATGGCGCAGCATTTGAGTGCTGGGCTGCGAAGCTGCCCGCAGCCTCTGCAGTGCCAGTTTGATCCCCAACCGCCAGCGAGAGTCCCACATGGTGCGACAGACCTCTCTTGCTGCGCCCGCTGCTCCCCTCAGCAGTGTATTTCGTCAGTCTGCCTGCTCTGTTCCCCACGCTGTCTCTGGTGAATTCTCTCACCCTCCCGTGCTTCTGACTGTACCCAGTGCTTGTATAAATAAATAAATAAATCTTAAAAAAAAAAAAAAAGAAACCTTAGTTTACATCTATGATAATTTCATGAAGCCTATAATTTAGCAACTACTAGTGAAATTTATCATGAATGAATTTTAATAATTCAAGAAACAAATACTGGTTGTTGATTTTCCCTCACTTAATATGGATTTAAAATTTTTTTTTGTTTTCTAAAGAAACTTGTCTAGGAACAGTATTTTTCAAATAAAAACTTTTAGATCACTTAGCTATAAGCATGTTTCAAAGCTTTATTACAATCTTGTTGAAAGGGAAAAGCCCTCTAGCAGGTCCTGTCAAAGCTTCATTGTTGGTAAGGGCATTTAATACAAAAAGAAAAAACAAGGAAGAAAACAATAGTGAAAAAATCTGTATACTCTTGCCAAACAGCAGAGTGGGTGGGTTCTGGTCTTCTAGAATGACTCTTAATCCCTCTAAAGTTCATCTGAAATATTACCAGAAATTCAAATTTCTTCCAAGAGAGAGATTAGGCATTATGTAAAGTGAGAAGTTTCTGTCCAGGACCACATTTGGGACACTTTTTATTTCAAAGCAGAATTTAGACCTCTGCTAAATTTGTTTTCACCACAATATCCTCGCTGACAAGATCAGGTTAAAACCCTGGCGTCATCCTTGATTCTTCTCTTTCTCCCATATCCCACCTCCAATCTAGCTATGGCTGCTGTAAGCACATGTAACACATCAGAACATGGCCACCGCTCCCCATGTCCTGGTTCCCACACAGTGCACACTAGTCCAGTCCATGTCTCACATGATGGCTGCAGTAAGTCTCATAGTCTGTTGTTTAACACCCGTGCTCCTTGCACTGAGTTACCAAGGTGATATTTTAAAAGCATAAAGCAGAGCATATCACATTAGGTATCTGTTATATACTTCTGTTTGTACTACTGAACGGGTTTGTCCCTGGAGTTAGTGTTTGAAGATCTAAATGTGACAAGCACAGAACAAATTTTCTATGTAATTCCACTGCTTGGCTTTTGAATACCAGCATTTCACACGGCAATTCAAATAGGATTCCAAATCCTCTTTTTCTCTAAAGCCTTCACACGACCTGAACTCTCCACCTTCACCTTCACTTCTTCTCTCTTCTCTCTCTCTTCAATAGCGATGGACTTTTTGCTGTCCTTCAGGCACACCAAACTCATTCCTGCCTCTGGGACTTGCCCTGGTTGTTTCTTCTGCTTAGTGGGATCTGTCCCTGGAAGTCCCCATGACTACTCTGCCCCATCAAGTCTAGGGCTCCCCAGGGTGTTCCCTGAGGATCCTTGCTGTGCATACTCTTCCAAGTGCATCACCCTGCTCTGTTCCTTTCTACTACTTTGGCTATCTGGTAGGATTTTTATTTATTTCTTTGTTTATGTGACTGTTGTCTAATTTCACTGGCCAAAATATGTACTTTCTGAGTATCAGGCTTTGTCAGTCACGTTAACTTCTGGCTTCCTAAACGTAGACTTTTTCCTTTATACAATAGGCTCTCTCTCTATATATGTATACATTTAAAGATTTATTTATTTTATGCACACAAGAACTGGGGTACAGGCCAGAGGTGAGGGGGGTGAGAGAATTCACCAGAGAGAGTAGGGAGCAGAGCAGGCAGACTGAAATATACTGCTGAGGGGAGAAGCGGGCAAGACAGGAGAGGTCTGCTGCGTCAACAGGGAGGCACAATAGGCTCTTTATAGATGATTTGGAAGATTTACTGAAAGAATGTCTGACAGATGACTTTCCTTGGGTCACGATGGAAGGACATTACACTTCCCCATCACACAAACACACGTACACAGGTTTGGGGTTATACGTGTGTTTGTGTGTGTGTGTGCGCGCGCGCGCAAGAGAAAGAGATATGGAGGGAAAGGAGGAGGACAAGTGGGAAGAAGAAATCTAGGGGGAATATTTAAGTAAGTGAGGAAATGTAGACAAGGGAAGGAAAGAGGTAGTGTGAAACTACTATCATCAATACAACTTCTAATTATTGAGCTGCAGGATTAGTCAGATAAGTCTTTCTCAATATGCCCAGAGCAGTCTTCTTGTTCTTGGTATGGGAATTGTCAGTCAAGGTTCCGAGAGTCTCGAGGTCTATTTGTTACAGGGCAAACCCCGATACAAAATGGGGTTGTCTGAATGTGGGTCCTCACCTGCATACTTAAAGGGGGACTTATTAATGCTAAACTGCAGACACACACAAAAGGTTGATAAAAGGTTTATTTACAAGGGAAGGGGAAATGGAAAATGAATAACTCAGGGAGAAAGAGAGGGAGATAAGTTCCTAAATGTGTCCTACCTGTTCCGCCAACCTGGAATCCCAATGACCCCCCGAGCTGGCGAAAAAACCCAGCACGCCGCTAGGCCAAGCCCCCCACACTCTCCCCCTACATGACCAGATAAATACTGACAGAATGCAGCTGCTTAACTCTGCCCTCAGGTCCTCACGACCTCCCTTTGGGGATCATGGGATTTGTAGTTCCCAGTGTCTTGATGGAGTGGGGGTGGCATCCACAAAGCCTGTATGGAGTTTGCTCAGGACATCCTTTCCCCCTAACATATTTACTATTACTTAAAGGATGCAGATAGTGGGGACTGAGAACAGTGCGGGTCTTAAAGGCTAGGAGAAATTTGTGTTCTTGCCCAAGCCCTTCACTCCTCCCTAATGTCGACATGTAAGCTTCTGCCTTTTTCCTAATCCAAGAAGTATACACTGCCCTCTTTCATGACCTAGAAGAACGCAGTTTGAAATCTCATCCAGTTCTAGGTTTATCAGCAGACATGTTCTAAGTACCAAAGAATTTTATCTTTACTCTTTGGAGTAAGGACGAGGTCCTCCTCTCTTTGTCTGCCATGTGAAGGCTCCTTCTCTTGGGTCCTTGATTCTCTAGGTCCCAAAACACAGGATAAATATTTCTGGTCTATTCCATTATTCTTTAGAACTTACAACCATGTGGAATCTAATAGATCTGGTGCAGTAAATAATGCAAAGTAAATGTAAACAACAAGTTTTGCTTCTCTAGATGAGATTACCTAAATGAGGTTACATTTTAACAAGGCCAGACAGCTGCCAGACTGATTGATCTCCCAGGGCATCCATGAATACCTGTCTTTTGTCACAAACTTTGTGCTTACTGACCGATGTTATCAATGTAAGATGGTTATGTATAAAAGATACCCTTTGTCCCTAGACTGGTGCTCAGACCTTATGGGGCTACCCAGGTCTGAGACCTCATGCATGAGTAATAAAGCTTCTCCTGACCTCACCATTCTTGAAGTACCGCTTGTTCTTCCCCAGCCTGGGTAAAGGCTAGAATTTATTTCTGCAACATTTTTTGGTTCCCTGACTAGGAAAAAAATTCTTGTCTTTCTCAAGGGCAAATTGCCTTCCAGAGATAAGGAGTTTAACATACTTATATTCGCAGGTTTGAAAATTAACATATGCCTACTAAAAGGAATTCTTTGTTTTTGACAAGTGCAAGTCTCAAACGTAAACTCCTCCTTTTTTTGGAGAAATCCCCACCTATACCAACGTTACTAAACCAAACCTGTAACAGAGGAATCTCCATGAAAGGGGCAGGTTCCAGGTTTCCTGCCCCATCTAATGAGGAGGGACAGAGCTGAGTGGCCAGGTGAAGCTATAGAAGACAAGAGCAACACTAGAGGAAACCCACGGAGAACAGAGATGTGTGAAGGCAAAAGAGTGAACTTGCTTCTCAGCTTTGGACTTGCACCAGGTACTTGGGGAACCTAGAAGAGACTCAGGTGAGAGAGACGTGGGGAAGCTGACAATGGCAGCCTTTTATCTTGATTTGTACTTTGATTTTGCTCCTTTCATCCCAGACTTGTCTGGCCCCTTCTGCCCCTTTCTCTGGTTCCCCTGCCAGAAGTTTCTTTAGATTTGGGGCAAGATTTCAGGTCTTAGTGGCCCTGCTTTGTGCCAACCCAGTTTGGCTGGGCATTTACCCATGAAAAGATGGGTAACTTTGGGTGTTATATTGGGAACCTATTATCCTTCCTTCTCTTCTCTCTATGCACATACTCCTATTAAAGGTCTTTCATCTAAGAACCCCTTTAGAGCATGCAAGTTTCGTGGTCCCAAGGTGCCCCTCAGTCTGCCCACAAACAAACCCTACCTGGGGGAGGGTCAAAGAAGCAACTGGCTGGGCCCTTTTTCTCTCTCTTTGATTATCCTCCCTTTGATTACCTAATAAACTTTTTGCCTAATTATAATTTTATTCCAGATTAATAAGCTAAATAGAAAACATTTCAGACTTGTGAGCCATCAGTTTGTACAACCAGTCGTCTCTGATGTGTGGCTTGAAAACAACCCTAGACAGTACATAAATAATGGGTGTTGTTGTGTCCCAATAAGACTTAATTTATGAATGCTGTGATTTGTATTTCGTATATTTTCGTGTGTGTTGGAGGGCAAAGGAAATCATCACCTACTCATCTGGTTTCCTTCAGGCTGGCAAAGAGGGAAAGGGAGAGGGAGCTCCAATTAATCTGCTCTGATAATCAAGTCTCAGACATATTGATAAGATGGAAAAAACAAAACAAAACAAAAGAAGTTTAATAGTAATCCAGTCAAAAAATGGGCAGAAGAGCTAAAAAGAAACTTCTCTGAAGAGGAAATGCAAATGGCCAACAGGCATATGAAAAAATGTTCAACATCACTTGCAATCAGGGAAATGCAAATCAAAACTTCCATGAGATACCATCTTACACCAGTGAGAATGGCACATATTAAAAAAACTAGCAACAACAAATGTTGGCAAGGGTGTGGAGAAAAAGGAACTCTTCTGCACTCTCGGTGGGAGTGCAAACTCGTCCAACGACTATGGAGAGCTGTGTGGAGATTTCTGGACCTACTAAATATAGAGCTTCCATATGATCCAGCAATTCCACTCCTAGGTATTTACCCAAAGGACACAGAAACATCAATTCCAAAGAACACCTGCACCCCTATGTTTATAGCAGCACTATTTACAATAGCTAAGCTTTGGAAACAGCCCAAATGCCCAAAAATAGATGACTGGATCAAGAAGATGTGGTACATATACACCATGGAATATTACTCAGCAATCAAAAAAGATAAACACATGCAATTTGCAGCAACATGGATGGCGCTGGAAGGGATCATGCTCAGTGAAATAATCCAAAAAGAAAAAGAAAAATACCGGATGGTCTCACTCATAGCAGGAATCTAGAAATCTTAAATAAGGGACCAGGAAAATGAATAACTATAAGAAAGTGAAAATCAAAATCAACAAAAAACTATGAAACAGAGACACTTTTTGGGGGTGGGGGGCGGGAGGGGAGGGATTGGGGTCAGAATGGGGGGGTTGCAATTGTATGGGGAATATAAAAATAAAATTTATTATTTAAAAAAAAAAACAAAAGAAGTTTAATAGTAGTGTTTATATCTCCTATGCACATGGAAGAGACCCAGCATGGCTTTAGACACATCTTACACAGCTTAGCTAGAACAAGGGAGGCTAGGGAAGAAAGGAAAAACTCAGTTAGGGAGTTTATTGGGGAGAACAGGTATGCAGATGGAAGCTTTGCTATCTCCACTGACTCCTTGCCCTGCCCAGGCCCTGGGTTGATAAAGACGCAGGATCCTTTTGTACAGAGAATGTTCCTGCCTCTGTGTTCATTTACTTATCTTTTGCCTGGCACCTTTTGGTGGGTAAAAATGGAACTCTGCCTCTTGTTTGCATTGCTGCAGCATGCTAATAATGACTTGGTTGCTACTTCCAATTGGGTTCCTTGATTTTTTTTTTAAGATTATTTATTTTTTAAGATTTATTTATTTTTATACAAGAGCTGGGATACAGGCCAGAGGTGCGAGAGGGTGAGAGGATTCACCAGAGATAGAGCGGGGAGCAGAACAGTCAGACAACCGAAACACACTGCTGAGGGGAGTATCGGGCAAGACAGGGGAGCTCTGCCACACCATTTGGGAATTTCCCTGGCCGGCCGGGAATTGAACCTGCATTGCAGAGGCTGCGGACAGCTTCACAGCACTGCATTCAACCCACTGTGCCACCGGGGAGGCCCTAAAGATTTTTAAAAATTTATTTATGCATACAAGAACTGGGGTATAGGCCAGAAGTGTGAGAGGTAAGAGGATCCACCAGAGACAGAGTGGGGAGCAGAACAGGTGGATTGACTGAAATACACTGCTGAGGGACAGTGGAACAGTCAGGAGAGGTCTGCTGTGCCATGTGGTCACCTCCCTGGCAGGGGCTCAAACTCGTGCTGCAGTGGCTGCGGATAGCTTCATAGGCTGCATCTTAACCCCTTGCACCACCAGGGAGGTCCTGGGTTCCTTATTCTGACTACCTAGACACTACTTGCTGAACAAGGTGGAGCTGGCAACTAGGCAACACACTGAGTTTGAATTGAATCATATTATTATTGTATTATCTTTACCCTAATCCATTACCTTCTGCTATGGCAAATGGGGTAGGGTTTCTCTTTCTTAATGATAAAAAGTGAGTGACTTACTTGGACATACTAAGTCAAGAGTGGATGAAGCATCGTCTGAGATGATAAGTGCATCTACTGAAATGGAGTGAAGCTGGGGAAACTGGTTTAACTCAAGGTTTCAGGGAAATTATTTGGTCTTCGAAGGGGTATGTGAGCAGAGTACCTCTACTGCTGCATGCTGATAACATGTATGCTAAAGGGTGGCAAGAACCACTTACATCTCTGATTGCTTCATAGAGTGCTTTGAACGTTGGCTGCTTATCATCATGGTAGACGCCTCGGTTCCCATGAAGGACAGACACACCTTCTCGTTCAGCTTCTTTGCAGTTACTTCCATACATGCAGTGATCAGGACGGTAGTTCCACTGGCAGGGGAACACATAGAGACACTCTGGTTGTGACAAAAGAAAAACATATGTCCAAAGTCAGCACTAGCTCTCCTGGTGAGTAAACTAGGGTTTCCATAAACTGTACCCTGCACGTGATTTAAATGCATAGGAATGTGCTTGTGAGTCATAGACCAAATTTCATCAAACTTGTCAAAATTCTGAGATCAGCAATTGAAGGGGCATGTATTAGAGATCTTGTATTTTCCACCCAATATGGAGTGTGGGGTAGCATCAGGGACAAGAAGGCAAACAAAGGCAAACAAAGATTTGGATACTGGGTCCAAATCTCAGCTTTCCATTCAAAAATAGTGACACCAGGCCTCCCTGGTGGCGCAGCGGGTTGAGCGCAGTGCTGTGAAGCTGTCCGCAGACTCTGCAGCGCAGTTTGATTCCCAGCCAGCCAGGGAGAGACCCACATGGTGCAGCAGACCTCTCCTGTCTTGCCCGCTGCTCCCCTCAGCAGTGTTTTCAGTCCATCTGCCTATTCTGCTCCCTGCTCTGTCTCTGGTGAATTCTCTCAACCTCCCGTGCCTCTGGCCTGTACCCCAGCTCTGATATAAATAAATAAATCTTAAAAACAGAAACAGTGACACCTAAATGCAGCAACTATCTTCATGATTCTCAGTTTCCTCATCTATAGGGTGGAAATAACAAGACTTCCTTCTTATTTTGATGATGCAAATTTAAAAACAAAAAATGCTTGGAAAATTGCCAAGCACACAGCAGTGGTCTGTGATTATAATTTGATCTATGAGTCATGAGTACATTCCTGTGCTCTTCCATTGTGAAATGGATAGACTTGAAAACTAGGAAAGAAGACTGAGAAAAAGATATCTCATCTGATGAAAAAATAACCAACTAAAAAACAAAAGAAAAAGACAAACTCTAACAGCAAAGGCAAAAAATCCAAAGGAAAAAAAAAGTAAAACTAGAGAAAGTCCACGTGCCAAGGTGTCTGTACACTGTGTTAGCATGTACACATGTGTACTTCCTCTCATGTATTTCCTTTTTTTAAAAAAAAGATTTATGCATACAAGAGCTGGGGTGTAAGCCAGAGGTGTGTGGAGGTGAGAGGATTCACCAGAGACAGAGTGGGGAACAGAACAGGCAGATCTACTGAAATACACTGCTGAGGGGAGCAGCAGGCGAGTCAGGAGAGGTCTGTTGCGCCATGCAGGTCACCTCCCTGGCCGGTGTCGAACTCATGCTGCAGTGGCTGCAGATTGTTTCATAGCACTGAGACTTAACTCCTTGCACTACCAGAGAGGTCCCTCTGGTGCATTTCTATCTCTAATTCAGTGTTCTTGGTCAGGAAAGATGCTACCCCTTATCCCCTGGGGCCTCGCACAACGCTTGCAGGCAGACACTGGTTGCCATACATGGGGAGGCTGCCACTGGAATCCAGTGGGTAGAGACCAGGCGTGCTCTCACCGGACCACAATGAACAGGATAGCCTCCACAACAGTAGAAGTGCCAAGATAGAGAAACTCCACTCCAACCCTCCTGATTCAGAACATTTCCTCTTGGTGTCTAGGATTATGAAGTTAGCAATAAGTTCATGACCCCTAAGTTGTCTGGCTCTCCAGCTTGATGCCTGTAAGGGTGGGGACTAGGGTATGGATTAGAGTGTCTGCGAATGTGTGTTGAGGATCACCAGAATGACCCAAGTATGAGAGCACATACGGACTACAGCAAATCAATCACCACTACCAGAAAAGCAACCTGAGGATGTGAACCACTGTTTAGAGATCGCGTACAGAAAGCTTCAAGATGGAAGCAAAGAATAAAGACATCGCCTCATATCCCCTCTGGCAAACTGTGAATATTTCTATCACTCTGTCTTTCATAGAACACAGTGACATCCAGACACACTCTATCAAATTCCAATTGTTTGGAACACACTAGGAGATTTTCCTTCTCGCCAGAGGATTTTTCTTATTTCATTTACCTCCATACTTGCACACACATGATCCTCCATCAGCTGTGTGACCGTTCTGCCTTTAATGAAGAGGGGAGGCATGAGAATTCTATGAGTGAAAATACATAAAAGTGCTTTTGTCCCAGATTTTACCCCAGCCTAAGTGCTGCTTTTTGCAACATGTGGGTCACCTCTCTCATTTATGATACCTGTCTTGGCATTTACATTCCCAGTTCCTGCTTAAGGACATGCTAATGTTCCTTGCTGAATGACTCACACTAGAACCCATCGCTGTTTTTGTAAATATACTAATTGATTGAGTCAACATGTTTTTTGGAATCAACAATTTTTTATTGAGTGCCTGCTATGTGCACTATGGGCCAAATACAGGTCCTGCCTTCACAGAGTTTCAGGTTGGTGATGAAGGTTGTACCCACCAACCACAAAGGCACCTCTTTGCAGCCTCCTGAGAGGACTGAACCTACTGATGCTGAATGCTGAAATAGAAAGATTTTGGAATCAGACGTACAGAGGTTCAGAGTTGGTTTCTACCATGTCCTGGCTCTATGATCTTGGTGCATTACTGAAATCCTTACTAATTCCTTACTAAAATCCATTACTAAATTCCACTTAAAAGCGCTGAAGAGAATTTAAATTATCCAGATTCAAACACCAGCTCTGCCATGTGTTAGCAGAGTCCTAGCAGCGGAATGGGAAGCTCTAAAGTCAACCGGTTGGGATGGAACACAGAACTCTGTCACTAGTTGAGGGAATTCAAGCAAATGACATAATTTTCTGGGCCTCAGTTTTATAATATGTAAAATGGGGGAATATTGCTTGTCTAGTAGGAATCTAGAGATTGTAAAATATGTAAGTGCTTGGAGAATGCCTGGCATATAGAATGAACACATAAATGTAAGATTTAATAATTACTCTTATTGTATTGTTATAACAAGAACTATTGCATTAGGCTGCTGGAAAGATAAAACAATATAGATTGGATGAGCTTAGCCTGGTTCCTGACAAGAGTGACATTTTATTCCATTTGCTTCTAGACACACAGGTGGCCCTTCATTTTTTGTTTTGCTCAAGTCAATAACTTTTATTCTTTATTCTATTCCTGCCAAGCACAACTGACTTGCACCTACAATCGTTTTTTAAGATTAGTAGTAAACTGAAGGAACAGCTGTGCTATGTGTGGGGACTCACTACACCTGAATATGTGGACAAAGGGTGAGCCGATGGCCCCAGAGTGGCAGTGAGGTGACCGTCAGCCAGCCTTCTCCATGCAGATCCTGGGGCAGCTGGCATGCTGCTGGTGAACTGTCTTGTCATTCCTGTGATAGGGATCTTCAAAACACGGTTCTGTGGATGACAGCTCTCAAGGAGTTCAATTTTAGCTTTGCAGTTTTTAACTTGTTACTTTTTCTATTCAAAACTCTAGATTGCTTTCATTCATACATAGTGTATAGTCAGTCATGACAATGTCTTCTTTGGTAACCTGCTGGCATTGTGGTTCCTGGCACATCATGCCTCCTCATGCACTTCTGCCCTCAGCAACCAGGAGGGTTGCTATTTCAGATGTGGACAGCTCCACACTGCCTATTCTCCAATTATCTAAAATGTTTTAATTGGTCACAAGTTTTCTAAAAACTGCTTCTGCAATGGTTGATCAACAGATGTTACCCAGACACAATACAGTACCAAGCTGGGCATCTGCTGAGCCATCCTAGTGTGCACACCCTGCCCCTTCATTCTTGACCTTTTATAGGTCACAGATTGCTCTGAGCATCTAATGAAAGCTCTAGACCCTGTGTTTGGACAATTATAATTGGATATAGATGAAGAATATTTACTTACCCATTTAGGGGTTCACAGATCTTCTAAAGACTACCTAAGATTCCCAGCTGTTAAATGCCACATATGAAACTGGATTCCAGCCAGGATTCAGTTTATATCTTTACTCTCCTCTTTAGAATTTTTCGGATGAAGGAAAATACATTGAATATGTTGTTGAAGCAAGCATTCATTCACCACATGACAGGTGTTGATGTCACGGGGTAAGTTACCGAGACTGCCCTTGGGGAATTTATTCTTGTATGGAAGATAGTGTATACAGTGTCATCAAAATGAACATTTTATCAATGTTCAACATCCCTTATAATCAGGGAAATGCAAATCAAAACCACATTAAGATACCATCTTACACCAGTGAGAATGGCACATATCAAAAAAACAAGCAACAACAAATGTTGGCGAGGATGTGGTGAAAAAGCAACTCTCCTATCCTTTCTTGCTGGTGGGAGTGCAAACTGGTCCAAACACTATGGAAAGCTGTCTGGAGGTTCCTCAGTCTACTAAAAATGGAGCCACCATATTACCTGACAATTCCACTCCTAGGGATCTACCCAAAGGACACAAAAACATTGATTCAAAAGAACACCTGTGCACCTATGTTTATTGCAGCACTATTTACAATAGATGAAACCTGGAAACAACCCAAATGCCCAAAAATAGATGACTGGATCAAGAAGATGTGGTATATATACACAGTGGAATACTATTCAGCAATCAAAAAAGATAAACTCATGCCAATCGCAGCAACATGGATGGAGGTAGAAGGAATTATGCTCAGTGAAATAAGCCAGAAGGAAAAAGAAAAATATCTGAGGGTTTCACTTATAGCAGGAATACAGGGGAGCCATATAAGACATCAGTGTAAAAAAAATAACAGTATAAAACACAACAAAGCAAAACCAGACAATTATAAATCAGCGACATACTGCAGGGGAGGATGCAGGAGAGGGATCAGAGGGAGGGAGGGAGGAGCACAGGGGACTGAGTGCACAGGTGCACTGGTGAAGGAAACTCTATGGGGACTACACCTGAGGGGGTGGGGGGAAGCAAATATTATTTAAAAATGAACAAAGATGTAAAAAAATAAAAAAAAATTGAAAAAAAGAACACTTCATCAGTGTTCATAGAAAGGAGGACATTTCAGTAAAGCTTCAGTGAAACTTAGACTTCTAGTAAGGATGGGATTTTGATAGTCAGCAAGAGGTCAGGGAAAAGCATTTCAAGAGG